AATGCAAATGTTATAATCCTGGACAATGTAAAAATAATAATTTAAAATCCTAAAATTATGAAGTAAAGGAAAATGTAAACATTAACGACTGTCTCATTTTTCAAGGCAGGGAGAAATTGTATGAAGTTAATAATCAAGAAATGATTATCCAAATTTATTATCTAAGAATATTTTAAAAACCACTAAAAGAGACCAGTTAGTCCAGCTGGCATTTTTTTTATACCCTAAAAAGCACAAAAAAGAATACAGTCAACTTAACTAAGAATAGATCAGAAGGGAAGCAATAAATCATGAAATGCAGCATCCTAAGACATTAGAATAGGACCAAATAAACTTACGAAAACAAGAAATGTAAATGAAAGAAAATCAATTCTTAAAAGAGAAAAATGTTGCAATAGTGAAAAACTGAAAGCAACCATCCTTATGGGCACAAACTGTATGCACTCTGAGGAAGAGGTCTGGTCTGTGCTGTTTACTGCATCCCTAGCAGCCAATCTAGGTCAGGACATTGCAGGAACTCAACCTGACTTATGGGCATCATTCTAACACAATAATTTTGACTGGAAATTTCACCTTTTTCCTCTAGGTCCAATAACTTCACCAGAATATTCAGTCTTTATACTTCTGAGTAATTTCTTTGTAAATTAAGCATGACTGTTTAATTTCAAGTCATTTATTTTAAGAAATATTTCTTTCGTTAATCTAATTAACTCTTTAAGGGTCAGTGGAATATTCATAATAATCCATACAAAGGAATAATGTGTAGCTGTGAAAAACAATAAGAAAGATCTAAAAATGACAAATGGGAAAAGTTTTGCATGATTTTGTAATTAAGTGAAAAGAGAACTCTGCAGAATAATGATCTCATTTGTCTAAAAACAAGATATGTAGATACTATATAAAAGTTATATAAGTAATACTACGTTATACACACATATAATGTTGTTTACATAGAAAAATGTCTAAATTATATATAAACTGTATAAGAAAATCTCAATAGAGGTTCCAACGAAGGAAACAGGGAATACGGAAGAAGGAGGAGAAGAATTTTACTCTTCATTCCTGACCTGTCATGTTTCAACTTTTTAGGATGAACATGTTAATTTTATAATTTAAATCATTTAAATTAAAAACAAAAACTACCAATGTCATCTGGAAGTTTCTAGCACTGTTCCTTAGGTCACTAAATATACCAGGAAAAGCACACTATATTATTCAAATAGAGACAAATTAAGAAAACTATTTACATCAAAAATCTGGCTAACCTTATGGTAAGTCTAATGATAAATTTGCCAGAGCAACCAATTTAATTGCTTCCATAGCAAGATGGTTCAGTGGGTCACCAAGAAGATAGAGATGTCATTTATGTTAGAGAGATAAGCTTTAGATTCTTATACTCTACCACCTAATAATTAACAATCTGGAGAGACAGAACCTTCTAAGTGTTCAAATAACATTCAACTGAGAAAAACATAATTCAAGCCTCACGTTTGGTTCATACACAAAATGTGGTCTGAAACAGGCAGTAAAAAGTTAGGCACAAATGTGCATTAAAACGAAAACCAATTCATCAGGAAAAACAAAAGCCCTGAAGTGCCAGGTAGAGCCCAACTGGACATATGTGAGCTCAACAGTTAAGGCAATGTCCGTGAATATATCACAAACTGCAAGGATCAGCAATAGACTACAAGTGTAAAACAAAGTCCTTTTTATTACCTCTAAAAATGTCTCTCAACATGGAAAGCACAGGCAGCTTATTTTGGGAAGACAATAGAGAATGTAATTCTACTTTTCATATTAGACGGGTTATTATATGAAGAATGTGATCAACTTTTCAACATCTCTTATGAAGACAGTATTAGGAAAAATGAGTTTAAACTATATGATAGAGAATTTTGTTCAGACAGAAGTGGGAAGGTGCTGAGTTTCTAGGGTAAATCAAATGACCACCCTGGAAATCTTTTTAAAAAATGGATGGATAGCACTCATTTAGAACCCCAAGGTTATAATGGCATCAATGAGCTAGAGACCTGAGCAGGGGTGTGCACCTGATCACACCTGAGTCTGGGAACTCCTCCCAGACAAGGAATGGGTTTTCACGGTCATTGGCCACTGGCACCTAGCACTGTGCCTGATCAAGTAAAAAAAATTCTCTGGTGACAAATTTGTACAAATTTAAAATAGAATTAATCTACCATCTGACAAAAGAAGGGTAAATTTTCAAATAAAACATGTTATAAAATTATTTGCTACTTCAAGAAAATATGGAACGTTCAAAGAAAAAAATGACCCATTATCTGTTCACCTAAAAACAACCACATACTAAATGGCTTTTATCTTAATCTCTCTCTGCCTAAGACAGTTGATATATTTTAAGCTTGAACATAATATTACTTTGATTTTTTACTGTATTTTATGTCAGAAGCTTTCCCCATGTTACTGCATATTTTTCACGTATCTTATTTTAAAATCTCTATCATATTACGTGAAGTGAGTTTACCATTGATGCCCAAAACATTTCCTTGTAGCTGGAAATTTAAGCTGTTTTCAATTCTTTATGGTTGCAAAATAATTATTACACAGAAATATTTTTCTAGTTAGGTTCATTTCCTTAGGATAGATTCTCACCAAACAGAATTACTTAGCAAATATATGTAAATTTTAAAGAATATTTATAAATATTTTCAAATTGCTTCCTAAGAAGTTAATCTGATAAAAAATATAAGTTGAATTTTAACTTACACACTTTCAAGTGAAAGTTAAATATATAGACATGTAAATATATAAGTACATATGCATATATTATATATAAATACATTACATTGCATTATATGTCTTAGCTACTTGTTTTTCCTTCTTTCTGATTATCTGTTCAAGCTCTTTGATCATTTATTTGTCTTAATGTTTTTCTTATTTATTGTTATGAATTCATGATAGAGCAAATACATTAGTCCTTTGTTATTTTACAGCAAATGTTTGTGTACATATTTTTTTGTAAAGTTCTTTCAAAAATTTTTTATCTTGAATAAATTTCATTTAATAGCAGTATTATTGTTGTTACTATTGAATAAATACACTGAAGTATTCCTTCCATGCTTATGCTATATGTTAAAAGAAATGAATGAACACTCTTGTACAACAAGTAGTTGACATGATTCATAATGGAAAAACTTTATGTATTCATATTAATTAATTAACTCTACATGCCCTGCAGATATATTATCATTTTTATCTTTTTCTATGGAAGAATGATTTGATCAATTGCCCTTGATTTTGTGGTAAATTCTCATCAGAATTAAAGTTAAGATATAAAAGTATTGGTTCATTTGGTATCTGGTTTACTTTTTTCTCAGATTAAATTCTGAATCTTTGTCAAAACTTTTTTTAATATCTCATATTGTTTGCCAGTTCTCCAGTACTCTCTCTTTCCTGCAAAATAAAACTCTATCATATGCCTCCTTCTCTTCATAATTCTCACTCTTGTCCATTTGCTATATTCCAGTCACACTGGTTCATAATTCTCCTCCCAGATGCATTTCTGCCCATTTCTCAATATGGCAAACTCCAAACTATCATTTGAAGCTGCAATTAAATACCATTTCTTCAGTGAATTCTTGTGAATAACCCCAGACAAGTGAGCTCCTGTGAGCGCCTGTGCCAGTGATTCACAAGCACTGAAACCGTTATCACATTGTATCATATGAATTCTTACGTGTCCATTTTCCCCACCAGACTAAAAGTTTAATAACTAGCACAGTATCCCGTTGTTCAATAAATATGTGATGAGTGACGACTGTCTTCATCAAGTACTTTTGGATACCCATCTGATAGGCTGTCAAGTAGAGGGCGTGGCATAAAAATAATTCTAAAAATTAATCAGATATTTCCTTTTCTTCCATCTCAACTCCCACCTCCTTAGACGAGGCTGCCATCATTTCTCACCTGGCCCCCACTGGGGGTCTCCTGCCTGGTCTCTGCTTCCTCTTTTGTCCAAACCCAAGGGTCCACTCATAACTGAGAAGAATCATTTTAGAACATAAATGTGATCAGTCTCTCCTCTCCAATGGCTTCCAGTTGCATATAAAGCAAAATCCAGATTCCTTATCCTGGCCTAACGGCTCTCCATATGCTAACTTTGGACAACCTTTTTGACTCTCTCCCCTTTGCCCACTCCTTCAAGCCATTCCTTCTTCCCACCACCCGCCACCAATGCTTTTCCCCTGTAACTTCTTTTGGCTTCATTTTTATTATTTAAAAATTCTGAGTTTATGTCACAGACTCATAGACTAAAGCATCCCGCATCTTTCAATTAGATCACCCCATGTTAATTCATGCATTTCTATTGTTTGCTTATTTGATTTCTTTTTGGCTTGTATATTCTTGTTTATTATTTGTCTCCCACCAGTAAAATGTAAGATCTATACATTTTTTTCATCATTGTAAACCCAGTGCTTGGCGCAAACTAGGTACATAGTAAATATTCCTAAATGAGTATACATGGTAACAGCATCAGCAGTAATAACACTAGCTAGCATTTACTGGATGGCAACTACACACAAAGTACTGTTCTAAGTACTCCATATGTGTTAACCCATTTACTCCACACACAAATACATGCACACACAAAGCTATGCAGTAGAAAATGCACACATTGATTACCCCCCGTTTTACAGATGGGAAAACTGAAAAGGAATGTTAAATAACTAGCTCAAAGACACAGATATTGAGTGACACAGCCAGAACTTCAATTATGTCACACCGACAGGAGACCCCACTCCCTCAGCCACTGTACTACGTGCATCTCATTTTAAAACAAGGTGACAAATTCATCAGAAAGATTTTTCTCCTAGTTTTAAATCTATTTTGTTTTAATTTTAAAACATACCTGATGAGTTCAAAGAACATTTTTAAAAATAAAGCAGATTGAAATCATATCTTAAGACCTGTCAGGAGATAAACAAAAACCAGTGACAGGAGAACTAAATCCAACGCCTACCTACCCTTAGAAAAAGGCAAAGACTTTCTTTCCTTTTAGCTGAGGGGAATGCACAGGACTCTGCTGCATTGCATTATCTTGACAAAAATGTAGCAACACTGGACATATGGTGTGGTTCAAACCCGTGCTGAGTAACTTTTGGACAAGGACACTCAAAAATACACCTAACCTGGTTAATAATAGCAAGCCACTGATCCGTCAACTAATGGTGTTTATAGGAAATAGAATTCACGAGAACAAGAAATAGCAGCATGAGACTGAATTAATCCACAACAGGTAATTTCCTTTTCTGTGCACAGCCTTCACCAAGAGGAAATCTGAAGATGTACCACCTGTTCAGATGTGCCTTTCAGAAGATTTAGAATGCCCTACCACCAAAATGACCAAAGGCATTCATTTATCTCGCATGATAAATTAGGTAACCATCACATTGGCTGAAAGGTAAATTTTGTGATACAAAGAAGGATGGAGTAAAAAATAGTTACATTCTTAGTTCTTCATCTCTTCATTTTAGTAACAGATATTTTGTGTGTACTAACTTAAAACACCTGAAATTTAATATGCAAAAAGTAGTGATTTTTAATGCTTATCTATGGTCAAGCTATATTTCCAGGATGTATATTCATAGGAAATACTTTACTCATCTTAAAAGTCTTCAACTTTCCTTTCTTTCTGTACAGACCAAGCTTTAATACCCCTTTCAACACACACACACACACACACACACACACACACACACATACTCTAAAAGGAGCTTTGGGTGGAGGAGATATTGAAAACCACTGCTTTAACCCATATCCTGGTCATGTCTGACTTGGTGTATTACATCTCTGATTCTCAGCTACAAGTGCAGGAAACATGCCTGTATACTTTATGCCCAATGCAGACGTTTTGTTTTTACTCATCATTATTTAATAAATTTACATAATGGTAATCACAGCATTCAACTCATAAATACGTGTGAAATCCACAATAATTAAATGTATGTTGATTCTATGTGAACAAGATTTTATGTTGCCTAGACAGAATCTCAGCATACCTCTGAAGCATTTTCTCCTGAGTGCTTGCTGGTATGTCCTCTGTCTTCACATTAAATGACAAAGGTGAACTATTTTCTCCACAGTGTGACCTCATGGATAACAGTCTCTGTAACACCTTGCAGAAGACTCTGCCTCTCGACACATCTCTGTTTTCACTCTAAAATTATTAATGGTTCATCCTTGGTATTTTTATTAAACTAAAAATATACTGTATAATGAAGAATTTAAATCATGATGTCCGGACTAGGAGTTATTTACCTTCTCTTTTTTCACAATCTCTGAAAATTCTGCATTAAAACTAGAGGGATTCCTCTACTAATCCTCAGATTAAAAATAACTTTTGGAATATTCAAAAAGTAAAGAAGGTAAAAATGAATTTGAGACTAATGAGCTAAGCTCTCAGAGAGGAAGGCACTCCACTGGGAAACAACACAGTGATAATCCCAGTGCCTTACAGGGATCCTTGCAAAGAACAGCAGATGTAGAATTTGGGTCTCAGACTTCTGTGACTGACAAACTCCCAGGTTTTAGAACAGAAATGACACTTCTAAAATCCCGCGCTGCGATGTGAATCCAAATTCTGGACCCTCAAAGGAGATTTCCCTTCCCAATGACCACCTCTGCTTAGCCCAATAAACTCTTCTGCCTTGAATTTAACTCCCTGTAAAATCTTCCCAAGACTAGGAAAAAGGAAAAATTATTTAAAGTGATTTTTGGCATATTAACTTTTAAGTGATCTAAATTCACTTTGCAAATTGAACTGAACCGATACAATCCCAGCTGTGTATCAGTTACAATCTAACACAGATAATAATGACCTTGGCTGGGATAGGAAGGATGACAGACATATTCTGTCATCATATCGTGTCAACATATTCTCAAATTGGATTTAAGAGCAATAAACAGTAAAAAAAATAAACAAAACTTGCATCACACACACTTCTTGACCTACTATCTTACTACTGTGCAAATATGAACGTGGAATACATGTACTATTTTAAGAAGCACTGTGGGATACGAATGACTATGAACTTTGGTATCAGACTCGATGGAATGGTTTTCTGCAAATTACTCGGACTGAGATTTTTTTTTTTCCCACTAGTAACATGGAGACTCCAGGTTGTCCTGAGGAAGATTGCATGGGATGATATAAATTAAAACCATTGCATGGTTGAGGTCTCAATTATCATGCTTTTACTTTAACTACTGAGTTATACTAATTAGGGTTTTCTGGAAATTTCTGTCTGCCTAGCTTAGAAATATATGTATATATGTAATATTATATATAATTAATCATTGCTATATCAAAAGCAAAGATCTCTTAGAATCTTCTCCAAACTACTGAAATATTTAGATTATGGAGCCTTTCTTATAGTTTATTACATTCGCTGCAGGCCATCAAACAAAAATTCTGCAGCTCTGAAAAGACTGTTTGTTCACTGTCAGTTCAAAGAATTATTTATCCTTTTTAGAAGAGTTGTAAAGCCTTCGATGCATTATTCAAGTTGCCTAAAAAACAAGTAACTGTCATGGCATACATAGTCTTCTTTCTGAAACGCTACAAAGAGATGTATGTATCTGGTCTTTAATGTTTCTAGAGAATTTTCTATTTAGGCAGTACCTTACATAAGCAACTGGAAACACATGAATGATGTGCTTAGTTACAAACATGACATTTTAAAGTTGACAGTAAATGATGCAAAGAATTAGAGGTTCCAAGGTCTTAGAGGTGCCATTAATAATAGAAGAATGTGGCTTTGACTAATTTGGTAGCGTGTTTATGGGTATCTGCACTGATGGTCACCCATATAAAATTAGTGGATGCGCAAAAGCATAGATTATGAAGCCAGGATGCTTGCTAGAGGGTATCAACCTAGAAAGATGATGCAAGGGGTAATACTTCGCCTGACTTTTTTCATTTTAATTATTTTATCTGTTCAGGTATTTTTGTAGCTTTTAATTTTATCGACTGCCACACTACCAGAACATGGCCAATTTTATCAACCTTATTTTTAAACAGATGCTAGACAACAGAATTTGTGGTTTATGAAGTTCTATTTTAGAATGACTGTCAAGAAAATCTATTTTAGAAATCATTATTGACTTTATATTCCCATTTTAAATAACCACAATGTCTCTTTGCCTTAAATTTATACATTCCTGTTTAATTCTAAAGTTGTATTTAAGCTGAAAGTTATTCAAAACTTAGAAAAGCCACACTCAGTGTCTTCTAGGAGAGACTGTCCCACTATCAACTTTCGCTCTCAATCTCCCCGCATCGTGTGGGCAACGTCCAGTGGCCTCGATACTCTCCTCCAAGTGCACACGCAGCATGTTGGTTCCATGCCATGCCCACCAGGGTTATTTAGAAGCTTCTTCATAAACTTAACTCGCCACCGGTCTATTGTAGCCTGGAGACTCACTCTTCCATTCCCCAGGGAGAGGGACCGGGAAGAGGTCCAAGCGGAGGCCAACCCCAGGCTCTGCTCTGTTGCCTTCCATTATCCTGCTGGAAAGCATCCCACGCAGGGGAGGATCCCAGGAGAAGGAAGACCTTTCAAATCTTCAGTCATTTACCAGATCTCATCAAGGGAAAAGGGAAGGGAGTCGAATGCTGAATACCCTTTTTCCACTAACTTTCCAGCTGCTCAAATTCTTCGCTGACACACGTTTGCATCTGCTAAGGTGAACCCACAAAGGTGCTCCTGCACTCGGTGACTTCTTAGCCTACTTATGTAACTGATCTAATGTAAGGCACGTATCTTTTAAAATTTACATCCTTACTATCCCTGTCCAGGTCATCATTATCTGTATTAAATGCAAATGGTACATGGCTGGGGTTATATCTGTCCAATTCACTTCGAAAAGTGACTGGCCCCAAACCAAATGGAACTCCTAGAGTAAATGCTTCTCTTGGGCTGACAGTCTTTGAAGAGCCCCTTCAAGAACTGCAGTCAAGGTGGGAACCCAGCCATCATTCAACTTAAAGGGCTCTGCTACCAGTTTCCATGACTGAACTCTAGTAAAATAACACAAATGCAGCTCAAGTCCCTTTGACATCCTACTAACGTCTGCAGTCCATTAAAAGAAGCTTCCTGGTCACAGGCTAAGGGTCTGAAGAGTCCCTTTTTTCACAGAGGAAGAAACAGAGGCTTGGGAGGTAAAATGGTTTGTGAAGAAGGATAGTGCTAATTGACAGCTGTCCCCTGACGCTCAAGGGTTTGCCCATCAGAGAATGAACAGTGGACAAGTTAAAAATTCTAAAAGGGCAGCTTCTAAGATAAGAGTGAACAAAATAGCAATATATGTTGACATCAGTCCCTAGCCATTCCTAAAGTTATTCTTTTATAAGCTAATGCATTTAATCAGCAGACTGGGTAGATTTAAACAGTGGGTGGATGAGCATAGGTTCAAAATGCATCATTCCTTCAGAAAATAAGATCAAGATACTCTAAAATGCAGGATTTTAGACACGTGACCCCCAAAGTAAGCTTCATTCTACATATACTTTGTGTACAAAAAAAATTTTCATTAAACTCCAAGGAATGTATTACTCTGCAAAATTCTGCCCTGCTGCTATCATAATGTTCATTTGTTAATTTTTAAGCTAAATGATTGAAAGAAAAAACAACTGTGAAAGAGGGAATCACGTTCGACCAAATACAGAAGGTCTGGCCCCATGTGCTCTAGAGTGTAATGATGGCACCCACTGTGAAGCCACATAAGCACAGGATGTGTCTGAAGCCCTGCCTTCAGGGGCTGTGCATAAAGTGTCTATGAAAGAAGGATGATGTGACAATATACAGTATGCATTTTGTGGCTTATATACCATCTGGGTTAATTTTTATTTTATTTCAATGGTGTTTTATGACTATGAAAGTACTGGAAACTTGAGGAAGAAAAATGGGTGGGAGGGGGTGGGGAAATTACCTGTAATCACTTATTGAAAGATTACTGCTTTTAACATAAGGCTGTGTTTCCATCTGGTCCTTTATATATGTATGTACAGAGATAGATAGATGGACAGATGGATGGATGGATGGATAGATAGATGTAGATTAATTAAATACAATATCTTAATCCTTTGTGCATGTAATACATTTATGTGGAAAACATGATATCTTGGTAGCTACCATCATATATAAGCTTAATCTCTCTATTGTTGGAGGTTCAGGTTATTTCCACCTTTTGGTTATTAAAGTAACACTACAATTAGCAATATTTTAACAAAATGTACATGTTATATTTAATCAGTTCAGTTGCCAGAGTTTTCTTCTTAATGTTCCAACTGTGAGTTATGTCTTATATGAATGTCTTTATTACTATTGTCTATCATTCCTCATCAACTTATAATACTAATAATAACAAACTTATTGATCCCTTACTGTATACCAAACACTCTTCTAAGCACTTTCCATATATTTGCACATTTTAACCTTCACAATAACTACAAGATAGAATTATTCTTATATTTTACCATCTTTAAGGAGAAAGGGAAACTAAGAAAGAGAAAACCACGGAGAAAACCCTCTAATTTTTCTAAGGTCACACAGCTAACACAGGATGGATCAAGCATCGAAACCCAGAGTCCCTGGTCCCTGCTCTGAATTGTGTAAGTATACCGTCTGCCTAAAGAACAAGATCATGTGTTTAATAAGCATGCTATTTTAATATATTTCCCATTTTTAAAAAGAGCACTTTAGGAATATTAATGTATTTGGATAACGAACAATTTTAAGGGAAAAAAATACAAAGGAAAACTGTCCCAGTGACTCAACTCCTTCACTGAGACAGCTTTATTCTTCCTACAAATGACATTTGTCTTACCCCTCCTCTTGTAGAATTACACAGTGCCGTGCTCATGTTTTTTGAGAGAAGAATAGGAATACAAAGTCGTTAAGTTCAAGAAGTGAGTAATGGAGAGTTGTGATTTCCATATTCTGAACTGTCATGGTGAGTTGGACCCGAGTTGAATCCTAACTCTACTCTTCTCTGGATGCAACCGTAGGAGAGATACTTACCTCTCTAAGTGCCCCATTTCTAATCTGAAAACAGTGATGTTAACCTCTCTCGCAGAGTTATTGTGAGGATGAAATCGAATGCCAATATAAAGCAGCTGGCACAGAGGCTAATGCATATTAAGTAACTGTTTACTCTGCTCTGCCTTGCTCACTTCAAAAAAGCAAATAAATAAAAATAAAAGCCTTCTCAGAAACAACACAGTTTAAAATCTAAGCGTTTATGATATAACTATTAACATCTCATTCAGAATAAAATCCTTTAGGAACTCCATTTGAAATGTACCTAGGCTCCCCTGGAAAATATCCAGTCATCCTTTATCCCACTAAATGCACAGGATGCCTTCAGAGTCTGTTCCCAAATTTATGCTCATTGTTTACAGAGTTTACATCTTACTGTAGACAGAGTGATCTGGAGACACACTGCTCAGGGGCCAGGCCTAAAGCAGTACTCTGTGCATGATTTAACATATCAGGGAGGAAGCTCTCCATATGGTAAATAACAATTACAAGCATATTATGAGTATACTGTGGATGCAGGTCTGGACATATTAAATAATTATGATTATTTCTTTTATTCACTCTGTTCAAATAACAGTCCCTACTTAGACCACAGGCTGCAGGGAAAATACGCAATTATTTCAGCAGTATCCACAAACGTCAGCCACTGAAGAATAAATAACATATTTATCTTTTTAAAATTATGCAGCATGTTGAAAAAATGTCATTTTAACAGCTGGCACCAGAGTTCCCCTAAAGGAGAGAACTATCTTTGTTTAGGAAAAATACCTGGATAGACTGCTTTACACAGGGAAGTGTGACCCAAGGGGAATGCTTTATGGGAAAACAGCAAAAGCAAGTCATAGCTTGACTGCTCCATAAAATGTTAACAAGATCTGGAGGGTGGAGGAGGCATCTAGAGAGGAAAGAAGGCAAGTCATCAGTGAGAGTGGATGGGACAGCAGACAGCAACTTAATAGAAGGTTTGATCATGCAGAAACGGAGGTCGGTAAAAAAATTCCAAGTGGCAGGGAAGTCAGGGCATTCAGTTATTAACCAAGTCAGAGTTTGGTTCTTCGAGGTAAACTACCTTCATCACTGCAAACCTTCAGTAAAGCCATTACACACCAACGCATTCTTTGAATGGTGCTTTTGATTTCACTTTTCTTTTTTTAATAAATTTATTTATTTTTGGCTGAGTTAGGTCTTTGTTGCTCAGCGTGGGCTTTCTCTAGTTGCGGTGAGAGGGGGCTACTGTTCGTTGCGGTGCGTGGGCTTCTCATTGCAGTGGCTTCTCTTGTTGCAGAGCATGGGCTCTAAGCGCACGGGCTTCAGTAGTTATGGCACACGGGCTCGGTAGTTGTGGTGGATGGGCTTAGTTCCTCCGCGGCATGTGGGAATCTTCCTGGACCAGGGTTCGAACCTGTGTCCCCTGCATTGGCAGGCGGATTCTTAACCACTGCACCACCAGGAAAGTCCCTTGGTTTCACTTTTGAATATACATGGACAGAGAAATAAGAATAGCTCCAGGCACTGAGATAAAAATGAGATTTAGAGTCAGCAGAAATATGAAAACAGCTTTAGGGGTGGAAATGAGAACATGAGTCCCTGGGAAGTAGCAGAAATTGTGGGGAGTATGTTGAGCTTCCTACAGAAAATGGAGTTGGGAGTTTGAGTCAACTCTATGTAAATTCCAAAGGGACCTAACACCAGGGTTACATGAATGAATAGAAGTAATCTCCAGTCAACAGGCATAAAAGAAACAGAACAAAGAGGCACTTTCCAAGGTGCTTGGGGAACTGAATTTGGATTTCGTCTATTTTTGCTATGGGTTTCTATTTTTTTTCCAAATGCTTGAGCTTTCAAGAGTGATATTTTCACAAAGGTAAATAAAAGTAATTTTAAATGCATTCTAAATGAAGTCAGGTCATTGTTTTGATGAAAAGTAAGACATTCCTTTTATTGGTTATAAATAGAGTAGCATCAAAACTGAGTTTCCTGGATGCAGGCTCTGAGTGGGCTCAGAAGATAGTAAGTGCCGCCCAGTGGCCTGTGCTGTCACTGCTCCTTGAAGCTTTTATGGAGCTAGAATGTCCAGTGAAGAGGAAGCCAGAGTGACCCTCCCCAGGAAAACTCTGTTCAGCAGCCCAGCAGAGTAGAATGTGTCCTGTCTGCATTCTAGCACGTTCTGGCCCCACCTCATCTCCCTCCTCACGGTCATCCATTCCTCAAAGCAGAGCAATCAAACCCCCACCCCTACTTCTCCAACCTGATCGACTCCACCATGGTCTTCAACAGCCTCCTAGTTATCCAAACTAACAATCTTCCCTTGTTGGAATCCCTGACTCTGTTTTTCCTATTCATCACATTATTACTCTGATCCTAACTTCTCAGTCATTCTACAGCTCTCCTTCCTCCACCAGTGCCTTAAATGCTTTGTTTCCCAAGTCCTATCCTGTGTTTTTTCTTTTTATTTCACACATACTCCATGCTTCAACTGTCGCTGAAAATGACTTCCAAATCTACTTCTCCAAGATTTCTCACCTCTCTGAGCTTCAAACCTCTACTCCCAAAAGCAGGCGGCACACATCCATCCAAATATTTGGAGATGTCTCTCCAAATATCTCAGGGTCTGTATGTCTCAACCAGTGGAGGCAACAAGGGATGACCTGGCCAGGATTTATCCTTCCTCCACCAGGTATTTCTCACAACTACAATAAGAAACGAAATCGTACATTTGCACGCAAACACTATAACTTCTTCCAGCCATATGATGACCAATAAGCTCCACATATATAAATTCAGCAGACATCAGGGATCCCAATCTTGGTCCTGAGTGTATCCCTCTCTCATTATAGCTCATCACATAAGCAACCCGAGCCATCTCTTATTTAGAAATTATTTCATCTATCTTAACGTCATAGTTATAGTTATCATAGTGCTTCCAATAATAACTGATTTCATTTTCCTTCTAAAGTAATGTGTCTCTATCTCCACAACTCTTGGTGTTCCCTAATAATATGTTGAATTGAATGGCTCTCTACACCAAAACTTCCTCGTGCCTACTTCTACCCTCAAAGTTCTACCCTCAGCATTTACCTTAAGCTTAGCCACTAAGAGCTTCCTAAAGTTGCAGTTCTCAAAATGCAGTCCACATCCATAGGATGTCCCATTTAAAACATTATTTTCACAATGAAAAAATTAGAAATACTGCATAATTCCTTTTTGAGATTCACCCCTAACACTCATCCAATAAGAGCTCTGAAAAGTCCTAAAATTTTTTTAAAAAAAAACCTTTCTAGCTTTGTTTATGTAAATTTTTGTCTATGGATCCCTTCTCTCAAGTCATACTTATTAGTATCTGAAAAGGTTAGGATATGGCTTGTCAATGTAAAAATGTGCAGTGGCTTCTAGATAGAAGTTGATCTCTTTGAGAGAGATAAGCAGTCAGTCCAAAGTGGACATGGTGGTTCCAAGATGTGAGGGACCAGGCTCCTTCTACCATGTTGCTCTGCAGTCCTCAACAGGCAATATTTCATATCCTAAGATGACTGCTCCAGCTCCAACCCTCACACTCATGTTCCATCCAATGGAGAAAAGAAAAGTGGACATACTACAACTTCTATTTTAAGCAAATTCCCTGAAAATTATTCACACTATTTTCACTCATATCCTGTTGGGTATGGCTTGATCATATGACACAGCTACCTGCAAGGGAGGCTGGGAAGTATAGTCTTTAAAGTCATGGCCCAGCGCTCAGCTAGAATATATACTGCTGTAAAAGAAGGTGAGAATGGAGAGAGGAGAATTACTAGCAACCTCTGCTACAATATCTACAGAACCCATGTGGTGACATGTTGAATGTGAATGGTGAGGCCTGATGAATGTGAATGAAATTATAGGGGACATATATTAAGCAAACTAGAAGGAAGTGCTTACTCGCATTATCCAAAAGTTCACACTGAAAAACAACACTTTGCCGTAAGTTTTATTTTTCCATATCCTTCAGATTTAGTGTGGATTCCAACCATTCTTAGGAAATATAAGTTTTTTCAAAGATTTACATTGAAATATATCTCTGAACTCATTATCCACTTCAACCATTCTACACTGAAAGTTACTTTTCTCTAATGCATATATTCATAAGGGAGACATTAAGTGACATTAAGTCATTTATTTTATTTCCTAATCCTTAATTTCAGAATGCCACTCACTGACAGTGTAAACTTGGGTGGGTCAATAAACTTTTCAAGTCTCAATTTTTCCACTGTAAATTGAAGATAATACATGCACACTGCAGTATTATTTAACTGGTTTAAATAGAATAATCATGCGTATAAAACACCGGAAGATAGTCAAGAGTTGTTGATACTTTTACATGCTTAAAGTGGGTGTAACTAGATGGTCTTTAACATTCTGTTTCTATGACCAAAAAACAGTGAAGGGTAAAGAGGTGCTACAGAAACAGTCCTGGCACTGGAGCTTCAGGAAACACTGCGGTCAATTTTGCTTTTTCCTTTTCCAATGACAGAGCAGTACTCGGAAACAAGATGATATCCTGGTAGAATCTCAAACTCTAGGAAACAGCTCTTGTACACACAAAAATATATTTCAGGTAGCCCACCCGAGAGTCTCCAAATCTTAACTCTTTTACAAAGAACAATCACAAAACTTTCTAAGATTGTCTTGATCTAATCATCACCTCCATGAAGGAGTCTATAAAATGTAAATCCTCAATAAAATTTGTCAACGTAAGGTAATGACTGAGGGTTGCTGGAGAAGGGAGGAACGTACTAACGATAAATACGGCAAAGTCCTAAGGAAAAAAAAAAAACACTTCAGTAATCTATACTTTGGCTAAAGCTTAACCCTGCATAATATGAACAATAGGAGGATAAACCGTGCAGCTACCTCTCATTACAATTCCTCATTTTAAAAATGGAATTAGACTAGATGCTCTGTAAGGTATTTTTCTCCTTTAAAATTTTAAGAAGTTAAGTTTCTGTGTTAATTTTAATGTGAATTTTTTAGATTAAATACATACCTATGCATTGATTACAAGTACAGGTCCCCATGTGAGTTTGTGCATCAGCTATAAAATAACAGAAACATAAAACTAAAGCATTTCAATGGAGATTTCAAACACAAATGCCGATTCATTGTTTAAATGCAAACAATCCTATTTTAAAAATTTTAATGACATTTCCTACCAACTGATGAGTGTGGAAGACCCTAAATAATTAATACAAATATTGTTTCTATTGCAAACAATGTTTATAGGTCTTTAGCTGTGTGTGCGTGTGTGTGTGTGTGTGAGACCATTTTGTTTGAACTGTATATATCACATATTTTGCAAAAAAGGCAGGGAGAGTCACCAAAGGCATGAAAGAAAGAAAAAAAGAAAATAAATCTTGGAGGACCATAAAATTAAACACGTTTATTCATTTAAAAATTACTACAAACTTATACCCTCCTGATGGCAGAGGAAATTATTCATAGAACAAAGATAATATTCATAACTCCATAATAATCCCTTTGGTGATTTGATGAATGTTCTTGGTACCCAGATTAAAACTATGCTTTTGGTTATGAATGCTGCTTCAAGCGCCATGTCACTACTTCATTAAGAAGAACTTTCACGTTGTGTTTGTGTATGTTATATGAAATATATTCATGGTAGCTGTTTTCTGAAGATAATAAAAAGCCTAGAAAAGTAACCTCCTTGGAATGATTTATATACGTGCATTTCTAAAAACAGGAGGAACTAAGAATTGGTGCGATAAATGTTAGTTGGCATTTTTATCACATCAATAATAAACCTGGTTCCTAATAACCTGGGTTGTTACACTAAGAATTAATATCACACAATCTTTGCCCTGAGTTTTCCTCTATTTTGTCACTATGAGAGTACACCACATTCCAGTATTTCTGATGATCTCCTTCACAAATTCCCCACTCTTTCAGATCTCTATTTAGTCAGGGAATAGATAAGCCAAATCTTTGTAAACAAGCCAACATAATACTTTGACAGTTTTCTGTACTTTTATAGTGCTTAGTAAGTTCCAGGCACTGTTCTAAATGTTCTTAATACATAAATTCTAATGAGGTAGGAACTGTTTTTATTCCAATTTACAAATGACAAAATGGAGGAAAAGAGAGGGTAAGTAATTTGCCCTGCATTACAACAGC